AGAAAATTTAGCATTTAACTTTAAAGAGTTTGTCTTAGGCTAACATAAAAAATGCATAAAGTTCACGTAATTTGTTTGTATTATTTTGTATTATTTATAAACTATAAAAGTTTTCAATATTTTTATTAAACATTTTATAAAATCCTAAGGCTTTCTTTAAACAATAACAAATTTTATTAAAAATATGCACTAAAATATCAAAAAATTGAAATATATTTTCTTATTATCAATTGTTTGTTTTTTGCAAAACTCATCCCTTGTTTATAAAGGTCGTTTGAACTTATGTAGCTGAGATAATTGGAATTTCCGGCACAATAAATTGGCCAACTTAAGAACCTAGTGGTACCGTAAAAGATTTCAGTTAGCCCAACTTAACCAGAAAACCCCCATAGTTCGCTGCCATATACCAGGCTCATTATAGTTAACCGCACATTAATGAAATCTCCTTAGCGAGACGCTTGTGCGTACGGCTGATTATATGTGTGTTGCTTGGAGAAAAACAGCTGAAATTTATATGCCACAAGATGCACACAAAATGAAGAAGTGGAGATAATACGAGGACGTGGGAAGTCGAGTGAAGACGACTCCGATGACTTGTCCTCTCCATTCAAAGACCCCCTCCAGCAGATCCTGTGGCGGCGTCTGACTCTGATTGATTTGAATAAACGCGCGCATATTTATCAAATTAGCCACAAGCACCGCACAGTGAGACATATCGTCCTGGCCAAGTTGTAGATGGGGAAACTACCCATATGTATACGAGCACACTCAAAAAACGAAATATATGAAATTCCAAATAAATTAAAAAATGTATACATTCCAAGGGTTTAAAAGATTGTCCTTATATGGCACTACATTAAAAAAACTAAGATTCTAACGTAAACATATTAATTCTGTCAATTTCATAAAATATATAATTTCATACAAAACGTTAAAACGGTTCATTAAACGAAAAAAAAGCTTTTTGGTAATTTAAGTGTCATAATTAAGTTATAAAATCTTTAATTCTTAAAATATATATTTATTTTTTCAAGCTTTGAAGAACTAGCCCAAAAATACAAAACGTTCAGAAGTTTAGCAGTATTTTGCCTAAGTGCTTATAAGCATATATATGGCAGTTGCAGGGTTCAGTCCTTCGCACAAAGTGTCATCAACTAATCAAGATGGGGTGGTTGGGCGATGGGCGAATGGGTGGACCTTGTAGTCGGGCTTGGACAGATGAAATGAAGATGAATCTTTTGTGGTCAGTGAAGGCATAAATTCTATCAAAGCGGGACCGACGCCACTCCAGCGGTGAAAAGTGAAAACGTCATAATAAATAGGCTTATCAAATTGATAAAATGTTCAGCATTCTTGCCTTGATTTTGATTTAAATGCCATGCCATAAATCAATAAATAAATGAATAAATATTACATCTATTGTTCGCAGCGGTGGCGGCGATAATAAATAATGTCCACCGAAGAAGCAAACTCTTTCAGCGATCCCGCGCTGTCCATTAGCGCGGGGCATAAATAAACAACCATTGTCCGGCAGCTGAAGCCATTAACTGGCTTTGTTTAGTCGGGGAAATAATAATAATAAAATGGCCTAAGCTCGCTCTTTTAACTCGCACGCTATCTACTGGCAGAAATTTTAATATTTACTTAGCGCCTTTTTAATGCATTTCCTAAGATGTTACTTTGTAAGGCCTGGCACTGGGTTTAATAAAAACTCGGATAAGTATAAAAGTGTAAAGGCGGAAAATAAGTGGTAAACGAACACAAGGGTTAAGTTACAAGCGCGGGGGAGTGGGTGGCGCAGAGTTGGCCCATAATTTTGAATAATTTTGTTATTTATTTCTTTTTTTTTGGCCAAGACATAGCAGCCACAAAGGCAAGGCAACAATAAAAAGAGGCCCCTGGAGAAGGGGAGAGGGAACGAGTCCCTTTGATGGGCATTGCATTATATTTTCATTAAAATCCATAATATTTAATGGTCTTTTAGAGAAACTGAACTTTTAAGGAATTTTCCATTTAATTAAACGGGGAAAATTAATACATAAAAAGAACGAGAACTTCCCTCAACAAATACAAAAAATTTTCTAAAACAGCGGGAATGATACTAAATAATTGTACAGTGCTGAGTAAAAACTAACACAAAACGTATTGTAAAGTTATGCTGACGAAACAATAAATGAGGTCACTGCGTATACGTAATGCCAATAAAACGTATAACACATAAAGAGAGGGAGCTACTACAAATGGAATAAAGGGAAATACCAAAAATGCCGTTTTATTGAAATTTATGACTAAAGTTTTCACCCACTTTCCTCCTCTTTTCGCCGTTTCCTGCAATCCACATATTTCAATTAGTTTCAATTTGGCTAAAAAGCCGCATACACAGACATACGAACTAACAGACATTTCAATTGTAGAATCAATTTTTGATCGCCACAAATATCCCCATTTAGGATAGTTATGTAGGCTCTTAAAAATTATAATAAAAACAATAATCGAAAATTACGCTTTGGCATCAAAAGGTCAACACCCTTTTGTTTACCGAGCTAGAGCTGAAAATATTTATATAATGCACGTATGTGAGTATACGTAATACGAATATACATCTATGTCCCAGTCCAACATCCGTGGAGGGTTTTCAACGACGGTCAGCTGCATTGGCCATTGAAACGGAAATGAGAACTCAACGCAGCGGAAATTTAATAACGACCAACAATTTAGCAATCGAAATGGGCGAATGGAGGGAGAATGCCAGAAGATCGTTCACACAGGACGAGAAGGACATATTTATGCGGCCATTTTGACTGACCGCATCCAGTATCCACCACCATCGAAACCAGCTGCGACCACGCCCTCCAATTGTTGTCCATTGACAAATGACCATTTCATATGTGAAATGGCAATTCAATTGATTTCTCTGCGCCAAACCGTTTGCAATTGAAATGAAAATAGTTCGAATATGTTCCAGCAGCCATCGGCCGCTGCCCATTTCCCCTACGGTCCGGTCCCACAATAATGAGAAGTATTTCATAAAGCCCCAGTACTGGCCACATAAATTGCTTCGTGTTTGGGCGAGAAAAACTGACAACAAATGTCAATAACATTGACTGGGGTGTGGAGCGATGTTGGTTGAGCCCAAATGGCAACTTTGTAATGGAATTTATTGCCTAGAACAGTTCAAGAATGTCAACGGGCGTAATAATAAATTTAATAGTTTAATTTGACGCAACGCTCAAGCTTGCTGACGGGCCAAAGATTAAATCGTCGTTGATATCGGTTTGCCATTAATTAATACAAAGATGCGAGAAAAACAAAATGAAGGAATTATTATTTGTTAATTAGATAATTAAATCTTTCGCCAGAGATACCAGAGAAATGAATGCGCGTTTAATGCGTTTATTTAAAGAAGATATTTCCTCGTACACGCAGAAAAAAAATAAATAAACATTAGACGGGTTACAAAAATATAGGTGCAGATTAAATAAATTTTATTTGTCAATTAGATTATTATTTCTTTCGCCAGATAGAAATGAAATATGATTTTGTTTTTTTTTAAATCTTTTCTTACACTCACAGAAAGTTTTATGAAAATTTGGGATATTTAATCACGCACATTATATGGATATTAATTTTTGAAAATGAGTTTTAGTTTATATTTTTCATAAAAAATTATACTTTTTTTAAGGAATCAATACAATGCTGTTCAGAATATCGAAGTAATTAAATATTAATAACGTGCTTAAAGGTTATTTATTGGACCCAGGTATTGGATAATTGCAAATCTAAGTAAAAATTTATTTTACTGGATAATTGGTTTCCGAGTGTAAAAATGGGAAAAAAAAGTCATCCACACATCAGCACACATAATAAATGACTCGTTTATCAACCAAAACGCATCGGAGGCAGGCAATTTCCTATGAAATTAATTTCCCTAATCAACAGTCGAGCAAGTCACCCAGTTAACTTTTTCTCAAAGTGAACGCATGTCAGGACCTTGTCAACCTTCCCCCGAGTGTCACTCCTTCCTGTCTTTCCAATCAAGTTTATTAAATGCCTGCTGCCTGGGCTCAATTATCTTCTTGACATTTTCTTTTTATTTTCATTTTTTTTTTCGTTTGAAAGCGGCTGTGCTTTATAATTTATCCAGCTCAGTCGCTGATATGTGGAGGACTTGCTGAGATGACTGCCAGCTGTGTTTGTCAGATAACAAAAGAGCTCAGGACTGGGCCATCCTTTCGGCATTGTTCACTTCTTTGGCAGAGATTCGGGCGCAAGGCAAAGATATTTCCATGCGGATTCTGGGCAAATGAAGTTATGCAGATGGAGAGCTGTTAGAAAAGTGTTGGCATAACTTGTTAATAAAAATATGAAAAATGAGTGAACCCAAACTTGATTTAATTTTCGCCGAGCAATTACAATTCAGACGAAGCCAAATTCCCAACTCGTTGGCTGTGCTGGTGTCGGAAATGCCGTTTGGCCAAAGCTTAAGCCAAAAAGTAAATTTTCCATTATTTTCTTTAATTTAAACGAACCCACAGTCGTTCGGTGTGTCCCACCCATTCCGTCCCTATTCACACGGGACCACAATATAAAGAACATTTGCATAACAAAAGGCTTCTCCAGTTGCTGCACAATGCAAACATTGCTAAGTCGATTCTTAATTTTCAATTAAAATCCAATTTATATATAGACAAAGCGTCAAAAGAGTGGTTCATCCTGCATTTCTTTTTGCTAAATGTATTATAATTTGAGCAAGGAGTTTACTGTGGCTGAGACTGTCAATGTTGAATAAGAAATTTATTTCTAAAAGCTGTTTATCTTTAACAAGTCAATGATAAAAAGTTTATTTTTGTAAAGTTCGCTATGACATTCGTTATTTTTTTAAGATTTTTTGAAACATTTATTGTGTTTAACGAAAAACACAAATATGAAAATGTATCCCGTTTATTAGATCAATTTAGAGACTTATCCAAATTAAAAATATATACAAGACATACAGATTTTATGTTTTAAATTATAAATAACTCATTTTGTTGCTTGTAGAAAAATATACAGAAGAATGTATAACTTAGAAAAATGTTAGCTGCTGTCTTCCGAGCATCTCTTTCGCGCCTTCCTCTTGAACTCGAACGTTTGCACAAGACCCAACCTGGCATCCTTATATGTATAATAGCTTATGGGATCCAGCCTTAAGGCCAGTATTCTTAATGAAGGTTCGTCTGATAAATGCAGGCTAAACAAAAAGTTGACCATTGTCAAGTGAAATTTGTCTTCCAGCTCCTTGATGAGATCCGTGTAGCTTTCACAGGACCATCGAAACTCCTGTATTCGACGTTTGCAACAACTAGAATTTGTGACACCAACTTCCATCACATCGTCCATTAAAATCTGAGTTAGCCTATGGAACTTTTGCTGCTGATGATCGAGATTTAGTACGACAATATAGAGTTTATCTAGGTATTGATTAGATTTTCGTAGAGCTTTGGTTTTCAAGGACCCTAATTTGATGGTCTTCAGGTAGGTTCTATTCGCCTCCAGGATTTCGTCTAGGCTATTTGCCTTATTACAGGCCAACAAAAGACTTGCGAACGCTGGCTCTAATACATCACTGAGAAAATAGTGCCTTAAAACTTTCATCACTCGCAGAACAATATTCATCAGATGGGCAAAACACCTGTTCGTTCCTTCGAGCTCTTCAAAATATTTGAGGTCTATGCGATTTTGAAAATGCAACTGCTGCCGAACTATCCTTTCGCTGAGCACGTAGTTGACATAGTTAAATCTCCACAAGCCGCCAAAGATCGCATCATAATCCTTAACATCCGCGCCGAGAAGAGCTCTCCAGTGGTTCGGAAAATTCCAGCGAAGAACTAGAAGTGACCAACACTTGGCTCCATCGCCTTCAGCCTTATCTATATAGAAACTTGGAATCGGCTGGTGCCACATTTGATCTTTCATTTGGTTGAAAAGTTCGATATTAAAGCAGCTCGCTGGTTCTTCAAGGATGGGTTCGAAAACTTCCAAAAACTTTCTGGTAAATTTTAAATCGGTAAGCATTGAGTATTTGTGAATCTGAAAAAAGAGATCCTGTGGTTTGGGTTTTATTTCCTGAAGTGTAAGCACTTCGTTAGATATTTCGAAGTGCAGTTTATGGACAATTTTATAGAGTAGTTCCTGATCTCCGTATCGGTAGAATTTATTAAATGCATCTATCAATGAGTAAAGAAGTTCTTTGCTGATCAGAGAAATATCCAAGCTAAGGCCCAAGAACTTTTTTGTGTAAGCCAAGGTCTTACCCACACTAATTAGAGTTTCGATAAGCTGAGGGTCCAGAAAAGTGGAGAAAGATTTTCGAACTCTATAGCGGTTCTGCCAGAAACCATCTATGCCCGCTCTTGTACAGCACTCAATTGGAAACTCATCGCAATCCGAAGCACTCAGTTGTCCGCTAAGAAGCCAGTGATGAAGCTTTGTTATCAGTGGTTGACTGGCCACATTCAACCACTTTAACATTAAGTTTCTTTGAGATCCAATTCTACGGCGTGATTCCTCGTTCAGCAATACCACAATGGACTTTTTACTCTGAATTCTGTGCAGCACATCCAAAAGCCACTGAAAGTGCAGCTGGTATCCTCGAGTTTTCCAGTGCAGAGCAAGCAGGCTGCTCGGTTCTTGTTTCCTTAATTCGTAGAATTGTTGGAAATTCTGGAGCTCCTTCTGCAGACATACTCGGAGAGCAGCAGCAGTTTCTCCCTGTTGGCCAAGTACTACCAGTTGCTCCCCCAAGGATCGATAGAGGTAGCCCAAGTGGCCAAGAGTCAGCAGAAGGTAGGACTCACTGATACTCTCCTGATGATGAGGCGATCGCAATTGCAGCCAGCCAGTTAGCGATGAAACCTTTAAATGGGGCGACTCATAGCCCATCATTCCGTGAAGGGCATCGGTGAATCGAGACTCCGTAGATAGATCCTGATCACCTTTGTCCCTCGACTGAAAGCGCAATGATTCGTAGGCCATTTTCTCGTCGCGAGTGAGCAGTTGTTCCACTTTGCATTTTCCCACCGCATTCATCCAATCAGAGTAGTTTATGTCCCATGGCATTTTCTTACTAATTTGGTTTAAAATCAGGCTCACCCGTGATTCGATCGAGGGCACGTCAATATCCATAGTTTGACCCGTGATCTCAAAAAACTGATCCAATTGTTCATAGAAATCGGGCGCATTTGGCTCGTGAGGGTTCCATTGATAGGCGGGGTTCGATTTGAAGGACTTTATTACAGCACGAGGTGCTGCAATGATGTGGCGTTGATGCTGCCATTTGGGCAAAGGTTTTATGAACAATCTATGCTCGCTATTAAAAGGAGATTTTTCAGAAGGTGCCTTCAAATTACCTAAGCCAACGCAGTTCCCCAGACTTAAATTTAAGCCTTTATATACATATTGACATAGTTCACATTCCTTAAACATAGTTTTTACAGAAGATTCCTTTAAACGTTCTGTACCATCACTTTTACCATCACCTTGACATAAATTCTTGTCCGCAGGAACATACTTATCCACATCATTTACCAAGTTACGTGTTTTGTCACATTTATTAGCTAGAGTTTTTACATAAGATGCCTTTAAATCCTCAGTAGCATCGCTTTTATCTAGTTCTTCATAGGGTTTTTCCCTTAAATTAAAACCTCCAGGAACAGATTCATCATTTTTTTTTACAAAATTGGCACATTCTTCAGTGAACGATAATTTAGATGGTTTTCTTAGTAAATCTTTAGAAACATTTATTAGGGTCAATTCCGATAGTGATTTATCCACTTCCTTTAAAACGTTGAGCTTAATGTTACTTACCGTTCGTAAAATCTGACTTAACATTGGTGAAAGCATTTCATGATCGTCCCTCTCAGCACCAAACTCAATTACTTTTTTTGGGTTTAACTCATTACTCAGATTCAGTACCTTTAACTGTTCCAAATTTTCACTGTGGCCCTTGATAACATCACTTTTAACTTCATCCTTACAGGTTATTTTCTCCGAAAAAATCTCTTTAGCGCCATTATTTTTTCCTGCCACCTCGGATAAGGACTTATCAACCTCTTTCAAAATGTGCAGCTTAACTTTGCTAACCGTTTTTGAAATTTGACTTAACATCGGTGAAAACATTTTCTGTTCGTCCAGCTCAGCATTAAAATCAGTTGATTTTTTTTTCATACAGCAATTTTCAGATATATCAATGCCTAATTTATGTGAATTTGCCTTTAAATCTTTCGTTTCTTCACATTTATTTTCAATCGTTTTCAGGGATTCCTTTTCAACAGCCTTTTTACTTATTTCATCCCTATCTTTCGGTAAAAGCTTTTCCTGATCATACTTTTTATTGCCAGACTTTATTGTTTTCTTTTTTGGGGAATCCCTGAAAACATAATTTCTTGGGGAAAATTTTCCAGGAGAATTTATGCGCAACCCATCAGTAAATTTGGAATCCCGTCCATAGTTTTTTGGCACGATCTTAACTTTTTCCGAAGACGATTTCCTTAATAGAACATCAGATGGTTTATACAGAGTCAATTTCAGGGACTTGTCAACTTCATTTAAAACATTTAGCTTTATTTTACTTACAGTTTGTCGCAGTTGAGTCATTATTTCGTCCTCTGAGAAATCTACTTCTTTCAATGTCTTTTGAAGTCTTGAATCTGTTTCCAGCGAGTTTTCATTTATATTACCAACATCAAGTATCGGGCTTTCTTCTGTAAGAGGCAATTTTGCAAAGGATTTTTTTTCTAATTCAGCTATCGCGTCTAATTTGCTTTTGTATTGTAAAAATACCTCTTTTATTTTTTCCAAATTGCTATGAGAATGTTCTTTGAAAATATTTTCAGATGGCGTATTCGAAATACAAGAACTATCACTAATGGGAATTTTAAATGCATCTTCAAATAAACATTTTTCTGAACGTCTTTCAGAAATATTGAAACTTACGGGACTGCTTATACACGCATCTGTTGGACTCTCTGTATGATCCCAATTAACGGCCACACTCGCTTCAGATTCTTCGTAAACATTGTTACCGTCACAAGTTTTTTCCTCACAAAGAAAATCCAAATCAATAGCAGGAACATCGACGAAATCGTCTGCAGCAGCTTTTAAAGTACTCTCAGAATTATTTGGAGTAGCAGCTTCCTCAATTATCGCCGGAATTATATCCTTTACTTCCCTCTTATCTGGATCTACATATTTATCAAACAAATCAAACGTTCTTCTTTGATTACTTATATTTGCGGAAACGTTTGCATGATCATCAAATATATTCGAAATATCAAATGTATTCAAAGCGGAAATATCATTGAAATCATTGGAATAATTATCATCGCGAGTTGAAATTTCCATCAAATCTTTTTCTGTAGCATTAAGAGTATAACTATATTTTTCCAAAAGATTATTATACGATTTTGGTTTAGCAGCCAATTCAACAGGCAAACCGAAAACCAAATACGGTGAAATAATATTTTGAGTAGTAAACACAGAGATGCCCATTTCAAATTTAAAGCCCCTTGAGTGGCAATTAATCATTTCCTTTTCACCCTCAATTAATTGAATACCTTCTATTTTCATTTCGAAACTCACTCTGTTGGACTCTAAATTGGTTTTAGCAATGCTTTTCTCAGGCCTCAATTCTTTTACTGGATAAGTGATGTCGTCCTTCTTTGGAATGCTTTCTAATTGGGCCTGGTTTTTAAACGTTAAACTCTCCAGATACATAATAATATGGGAGTCAGAGGATTTTACGTCGACACTTGAAGTTGAGTTTGATTTTCCAACCAGACAATGCAATATGTTTTGAGCCTGGGCATACAAACGATCGATGAGTTCCACTCGACAACTGTGGGACTTTTCCCGCCCCTCAATTTTTGGGTGGCCAGAATCAAAGAGTTCATGGCAGATCTTCAGGTACCCATTGCGCAGTTCCTCATCCGACTCTAGGTCCAACAGTTCCTTGTACAGGCGCATAAAAAGAGCTTCCCGTGCATCGTGCAGAGTCCATTCCTCGGGATCCGTTTCCTTCTGCAGTTGTTCGAATTGTATCCTCAAATTATTGAGCAAAATCAGTTCGAATGAGTCGCTCGCAGGCGTATTGTGTTCTTTTGTGAACTCCACTGACTTGGCCACATTGTAGTTGAAGTTACCAAGGCTAAGGCTCAGTTCCCAAATGCACATAAATAGATCAAAGTCATCTTCGGAGGAAGGTTGTTCAAACGATTCGTTCACTTCCACGGAAATTGGGTTTTCGGATAAGTGTACTTTGTCCATATTCTTTGTTTGATTGCGGATTTCAAGACCAATGATAACTTACCATTAAAACAACATAACGTTTTTGCACATTTTCTACAAAATATCTGATAAAATTTAAAAATTTGTCCAGTTCCGGACTAACTACGTTTTCAGTGCTATATGTGAGTGTGTAATCTAACGAATGAGGTTTCAGCTTCAACCCGTTTCATTTTTGCACTTCCCCACAGCCCCGTTCACAATAATTAACCCATAAATCTGTCACTAGATTGTCGACAAGTGGGAAAAACTAAGCCAAGCCATTCAGCAAAAATTGCGATGCCTGTGCACCTTTTGCAGCCGCAACCTTTTGCAACTCCCTGGCAACTTTTCATTCATTACATAGCTCTCGACGCACCGCGCATTTCGAGGGGGTGTAGTTGCTGGAAAATGTACGACGCCACTTTTAACCTCAGACCGTAAAAAGTTCTGCTGCTCGGCAAAAGGAAACTATGCAAAGATAAGTGAAAAAGATTATATATGCATTGTACTAAAATTTACCGCCGACATGAGTGAAGCAGTTCGCTCGAGTTAGCGCGGCGAACAGCCCAAATTCCCATGCACAAAATGGCACGAAATTTACGTGCAGGCAAGTCAAACGTAACGCAACCGGAAGCGGAAAGAGCCATTTAAAAAGGGCGAAGCAGAACCAGAACCATAAAAAAAAAAATTGTCTAAAAGAAGACTCCGTTTTTGGCAACAGGCCGCTCCCATCCTGTCCGGAATTTCAAACGACAAAGGCAACAGGCTTTCGGGTCAAGCGAAGAACATTCATTTTGCATATTCGTGTGAAGAAAATTGGTTGCTGAAAACCTGACAGCCGGCAACTTTATAAAGTGATTTCCTTGAATAATGCCAGAACTGTTGCTTTGAAATCTAAAATGAATGCAGAATTAAATAGGGCTTGGAAATATCAGAAAATAATTTATATATCTTGCAAAGTAAAAATAGTCCGGCAGAAAACCTCTCAAGCTTTGCAACTTTACTGAAACGATATAATTTAAACGTCTATTTGTTATACATATTTATACACAATTTACACATGTAGATGTTAATATTAATTTAATTTACTTTTCGGTAAATAAATTTACAAATTTAATAAAAATTTAAATGTGTTGTTGTGGTGTTTTTAATAATTTTCATTTTTAGTTCTGTAGAATATTGATCTTATTTGCACTTTTCGATTTGAATTTTGTTCGTTTTTTTATATTTTTGTCCCCAAAATTGTACCTTAGATCCTTCGCCGCATCATTGACCTACCAAAGACACAATAAAGCCAAGCAAAACATCCCTTCTCGCGTAATCATACGCTATTCGATTTCATCTTTCGCCCAGTTTTTGTCCCTCGCAGAATTGGCTGTCTACTTTTGTCCCACAAATTCAATGGACTGGGCACAATGGAGTCGGAGTGCCCAACAAACCCAACTTGCCCGACTGTGAGCTATAACCAGGGACTCACTTATGTTGTAGTTACCGATTCATGTGCATGTTGAACAAACGACTTCACTGAACAATGCAAATAATTGTCAAACTAAGCTGGGCACAGCTATGGGCGAAGCTGCAAAAAACTAAAGCCAACCCCTTGCAATGAAGGAAAGCATATGATTTTATAGCTTGCCAGCAGGCATTGTGCGAAGCTGTTGGAAATCACGAAAGAATACACTGATCGCAAAATTGGCATATAAAATAAAACAGAAATAAGAAATTTCAGTTCTTAAAATTGTTTTTCAGAAAGTAATTTCTTATTTCATTATTAATTTGGTTCTTGAAAACCATTTGTTTCCAAACAAAGTTCGGTTGGAAAGAAATGTTTGGAATACGGTATTGTTTAATATATTTTGTCTAATTATAGGTTTAACTTTTTAGTTTATGAACTACTTACTTCTCAGTGTGAAAAATTCTAACACTGCAAGTGGAATGAAAAGAAGGCGTTGCTGATTGTCTCAGGGAATCCGAAATGGCGGAGGTGAAGTCGGATAGAAGGCATTCAAACGTGCTAAGCGGCGCTTTAATCGCGCACAAACACGGATTCGGATTCGGATTTGGATTTGCAATGGGAAAAGTGCAGGACAAATCGACAAGTGCCACAAGTAGAATCCAGACATAAAAAAGGTGCACATTGTTAGCCCTTCGTCGTCCCCTGTCATTGGCTTTTCACATTTCAATGAGCCCTGGCTTCCAGCCCGGAGTCACTGCCTCCAATCCGGCGAACAATGAAAGTCAATAAATTTGATTTGACATTTCCTTAAGCGACGCCCCACAGTTTTTTGCGCTGATTTGGCACAAAATTCTCCCCCAATTGTTTGCCGCCGAGCTGCAATTGTAATTTTATTATTATGCCTGACAAAATGTCACACATTCTGATTTTTTAATGATCTGGGCGTTCTGTGAGACATGTTTTTATCAATTGGTTTGGCAGAGTGTCTCTGAATTTAAAGCTGGTATTTAAAGCATACAGCACATAGTTGGAGTTTTGGGATAATAGCTAAAACATTTATTATGAATATCCATAAAGTCCATTTAAAGCTTGATTTTTGAGTGTAACTCTATTAGCTTATTCAGGGGAGCCACCTATAGACTTATGGTCCTTGGACGCCAACTATTATCGAACACAGCACACCACACAAAATTAATCATAGACTTCTGGCTTTGACCGGTGTGCGTTCGAAATTTATGCATTGCAGCAAATTTTGCGATAATTGAGACTGGAAACTGAAATTGCTGCATTAGCTGGCCAGGAAATTAATTTACAGCTTCTACCAAGTTTTGATTGCCAAACTTCTCCGGATATCTTCGTTGGCTCAGTGTGTATTTACTATTTACGCAGGACATGTGAGCGAGCTTAAAGAATCAAAACACCGGCTTAAAAGCCTAATTCTAATTAAAATCATACAAAAGACGAGGCGAACTTGGGGGCAAATTGGAAAAGCAGAAAGACAAGGGGTCCTGCAATTACGTGACACACTTTAAGCGTCATTTTATGGCAGACTCTGAGAGCCAGCTCATATCCCATGTTTATGGCATAAGCTGTTGCTTAAATGGAACGCATCCTCGTGCATCCTTCCTAATCCTTTGCAGACATTTGCCCGGCACATACAAAATTTAAAACGTTCTCCGTCTGCCGCTTGTAATTACATTGTAATTGCAACTGGATGTCATCTTTCGTATTCTCTGCAGGTTGCAACGAAATTTAATGCTTATTACATTTTGGTATTTAATATGAGGTAACTACTGGAAATGGCTATGTGCACGAAGTGAACTTGTCAGCCATTTCGTTTCATTTTAAACAAAAAAAAATGTGCTATACCTAAATATAATAAAGGAAAAAGCTAAAGTTATGATAAAATAAGCTTCGGAAACCCTTTGCCTTCATATTAGTACTTAACCTAATAAACCCTCAAGGGTATTTAAACTTTGTTGCATTCAATTGGCAAACTGCCTTTGATGTTTGGCTTATTCCGAATTATAATAGAACCAGCATTCGAGATTAGGCTTATTAGGATACCTAAGGACATTATTCTTCAATACAATTGAAGCACTTAGCCTCACGGCAAATTGCATGAAATTAAATTGCAATTTACTCAAGAGCCTAACAATTCGAATGTAGAGCATGCACACACAAACAACGCGTGAAGTTTGTTTTGTTTTGTGGCCAACTGAGTTATTATGACGTTGTTTGGCATTCGAGTGCGGCCTAAATATGTGAAAATTGTGTGCTCATTTGTGGTTAATTAAATGCATGTATTGAAGTTTGAAATGCTCGGCATTTGTGACCTAATGCCTATTTAATTGGCGTAAGAAACGCTTAGGATTCGACAAATCATATATGTGAAAAGTCACACTAAACGTTTAACATTTCACGATTCCGTGGGCATGCCCGTTTGCCACCCACTTTAGATTAAAATTCCCTGTGCGACGGCAACTCTTTCATTTCTTTGGCCACGCAGCAAATTAAAAAATTGTGCAACAATTGAAAGCACTCAAAAAGCAGGGAGCATCAGCAGAAAAAAGCTGAGAAATTGTCAAGAAAATGCAGCAATGTTCATGCCACTTACAGTACGCTGGACTTCAGCAGCAGCCAAGACAACGACCGAAGTGCGACAAGAAATTAGGAAAGGAAACCAAAACCACCTTGCCTTTGAATATGTCGACTATAAGATACTCAGTTTTGAAAACAGTTATGCGAAATAAATATGTATGACTAATTTTTATAGAAATAAATTCCATTATAATAATAAAGGTTAAGGGTTGATTAGCTCTATGTTTTATTACTCAATTAGGAACTTTTCTATTATTGCTTTAATAAGGCAATTCTCTAGCTTTCAAAATAGTCAGTTGCCTTCTATACGATTTATGCAAAACCAAGTTATCCAAATCCTCTTAGGTTGTGATTATCTTTTGTGATAAACTTTTACAACCACACAACATACCCTCTTAATCCACAAATACAGGGTAGCGAAAAGGGAAAAATTGGAATAGAAAGCCAGGCGAGCAAATGCCAAGGAACACAATGAGATGAGCAAGCTGTGCTGGCTGGATAGAGAACCTCCAAGGTGCCAGGGGATGTGGGTGGCTGTCGGAAGGAGCAGGAATAGGACTAGGACTAGGACTAGGAGTAGGACTCCTACTCCGGACAGGATCGGTGTCGGTGGCACGTGCAACACTTGCCACAGTAATTGATAGCACGCTAGAGTGATTCGTAGTGCAATTCAAGGCAGCTTTTGCCTTTTTGCACCGCTGCACGACAAATTTATTTGTTATATTTTCGTTTTACTTATTTCCATTGTTGTTTGTGTGAGATTAGAGCCTGGTGTATCCTTTAAACTGGCATTCAATTGACTGGGTCTTTAGGATATCTTTGAATATAACGCATATCCCTCTTATAACACATATTTTAATTCCTTTCGGTTATACATATCACATTGCCAGGATAAGTATCTTAACCTTAGCCGCAGCAGTTTATGATGATGATGACGAGACACTGATTATGATCAGTTCCATTGTTGTGTGCACAATCAAGTGCGCATGAATAATTCCCCTCCGCAAGCAAATCCGCTATGAATTACACACACTTATGCCAACATTCTACAGCCAGCATCCTACTACTTTG